ATATTTATTTTATATCTGGAATTTAAAGTTTAGTACATGTAAGACGTTTTCGTAGGTTACACTTTAAAATTTAAATATATTGACACCTAAATATAAACTTTTAGACTGACATTTCTTTCACATAATTTTAAGGTGGTCAAGTAATCATTAAATAACTTACTTTAATTTAAAAAAATAAACAAATTATGAAAAAGTATTAAGTTTTCAGAGAAAATTTATTTACTGGAATATAACTGAGAATGCACAATAACAATGTAATATATTTATTTCAATTTTCATCGGCGCATAAGTAAAAATGCACATGTTTGTATATAAATAATTACACGAAACAGCAACTGAATTACGAACAGCTGGCGTTCTGCAAATTTTGAGCTGTGTGCAAGCCTGGAAGTGACTTGCAAATGACCTAAGTGTCGAGTGCTGCTCACGGTATCAGCAACAGTCAAAAAGCAAAATGGGTAAGAGCACGGATCTAAGCGCATTTTTAATCGCAGGCGAATCGTCGAGGATCGACGAATGGGTCACTCCACTTCGGAAGTAGTGCAGACATTCGGATTTTCTCGCACTGGTGTGTCAAGGGTGTACCGTAAGTACGTCGTTTCAGAGAAAAGCCTCCCTGCCAGGGTCAATTGCCGCGGACAAGAACGTGTGGATGACTGAGGTCGTCGTCGGCTAGCCTGCATTGTAACAGCTAACGGTGGTGCACAGCAACGTGTAATCTGCCACACCAAGATAAATCATCTCCTCTAAATGGGGTGCAGGTGTCATAGTCCTGCAAGAGACCCTCTGCTGACTACACGAAACGTACTGCAATGATTAGCATTGGAAAGAGACATCGTCAATGGACCGTCGAGGTGTAGAAAAATGTTGTCTGGAGTGATGAGTCGAGATACACTTTGGTACGTGCCGACTCACGTAAACCACATGAAGCGATGGATCCTTCCTGCAAGCAGGGAATTCTTCAAGCTGGTGGAGGTGGTATTCTTGTCTAGGGAATGTTCACGGTCCAATTTCAGTGTTGCGATTTGGTACATGTGACATCATCTCTCACAGGTGAACGTTACCGGGATATTCTTGACGACCACCTGCTCCCATATGTTCGTTTTCGACAGCTCACTACATAGATTATCTTTTAACAAGACAATGCATGGTGCCATAGCTCCCGAATTGTACCAGAATGGCTGGATGAACATTCCAGAGACCTGTACGTGCTTTCATGGCCATCATAGTCCCCTGACCTAAATAGGATCGAACACATCTGGGATGCAATTTAGAGAGATGTTCGATGCTCCGATCACCTTCTATCTAATCTTCTTGAAATGTGGGAGGTTGTTAAGGAGTCGTGGATATGTATGGCTTCCCACTGCCTCCACTGTCTTGTCGTGTCCATGCCAATATGAATCGCAGTTGTCACCAAGGCTGGTGCTATGCGCTACTAGACTAGTATCTCAACTACTATACAGGTAGACTCCAATTGCTCTTCAATGTATAAACTTGTTTCTGTTTCTTACTGTACCTTGATACCTGATGGCGTTCCGATTCTGATAAAGTTTCTAGCCTTGGGGAGAAACTGCTAAAAATAATATTCATGTTTATCGGAGAATCATGTTCTTTCTTTATTATGTTTCAACTGTGAAAAAAAAGCTGTTCACATATGAACAGCTCACATATGCCTATTTTTTGGCAAATAGGAATACAAATTAATGAAATCTGTATCTTCGAACACGATTTCTATCACATCGTAAATTAATTAGCTCTTTATAGATTTTTTGGTGTGTTAGCCATATTCGTTTTTAAGTAAAATGAAAATAATACGAATTCGAACTTCAAATAAATGTAACCTCGAAATCTTTACGCCGTATTTGTAAGAAGTACATAACTGAAAATTCTTCGCGGGCCGCATAAAATTGCTTCGCGGGCCGCCAGCTTGAGACAACTGTTTTAGCAAGTTAACGAGTAGAAGGTGAATCTTATATATTTGAAATGAATGCATTGTGTTGCTGTATATTGTACCGGATATTAAGGACGGTTATATAAAATTTGAAACTTTACTATTTTCCTTCATTTCATAAAAATGCCATGAACTTCCATCATTAGCCAAGTTGGTACCGAACATGCAATGGTTAGTTACAACAGCAACGTAAACACCAAAGCAAATATTATAGTATGCAAAGCTGCATACCAGGATGTGACTCAACATGTGATGTTAACCCATCATTGTTGCAACTGACTGTGTAAAAGTTGAGAAAGTGATTAATTATAGTGGGAAATATGTGGAAAACAGTGGGTTTGGATTTATTAGATTATAGCAAAATTAGCTTATCTCCCTAGTGATATCTTTGTGGAGGACGGTTAAGGTGTTACGCACGGAGAAAACCGGTACAGAAATAAATTCATGGGACACTAGGATTTCACCAATGTTTTATAGGCTTATTATCAACTACACTCGGAGCCTGTCATCTGCAAACTGAAACTCGGGTCAAACTACCATTCCTAAGTATTCTCAACGCTCGTAGGCCCATCCAGAAAAGAACATCTTCTGGAAGAATTCGCAATATTAGCAATGCAGTAGCATCAATGTTCGCCAATAGCCTACGCAAAATAGCGAGCCAAAGCGATAATGGTTGGTATCCTTTTTAAGCCTGAAAGATTCATTTTCCAGTGGCACTAATAGCCGCAATATTGCCTTAACATGATGCGATCAAATATGTAACCTTATTTCTGACTCAGTTTATATATAGTTCAAGGGTTGGATTTAGATTTCAGTGCAAACGTTTTAGTTTAGATTATTTTGGATTTGGATTAATAAGGATTTTGATCTAAGTGAAAATGATTAACTGATGTGAAATCTCTGAAATTACTTAATGGTAAGAAAACGAAAATGACAGTTTAAAGCTTTGAAAAAGACATGATCTAATAATATTTAGCAGTATATGATTTTCTAGTTTCCTTTCTATTTTTTACTGGTAATAAGAAGAACTATGGCTGAAGAATTCTCCCATTCTCCCGTTAACGATTACATTCCGCTGCCAGTTAAGACTTGTCGCTACAGAATTCTCTTTTTTAGTTAGAGGAATAGTTTCTTGCATTAATTTGCTGCTAGGATCCTTAGAAAGTCATTTTCTCTTGTCTAAGGTTCTAGTATGACAATTGTTCAATTAGCTCTTCCGCTGAAAAATCTTTAGCTGGTAACCTAAAAATCGTTTAAGCGTTTTACAGAAATCAAAAAGGCTGTAGAAAATTAAAAATTTCAAAGTATTCTATTTGAATCAATTTAAAAATTATGTTACAGCAGAATATTTCTCGGTGCAATGCGTAGAAACAATTAAAAACTGCCGCAGTGTCTTAGGAAGATTTTTTTTCAGTATTTTGATTACAAAAATATTAATTTGATTTTCACGAAAAGTGCGTAGATTTCGTATTTATAGGTATATACAGTTTCTTCTGAAATTTTGAAACTAATGGAGCACAGTTCATTTTCCTCAGTCATTTATCACTGGTATATGATTTAAAATTTTTTAATTTAAAGGATAATATACAGCAAATAAGTAAATATCTGCTACATTCCAAATTGCAAGATCAATTGGTTTAAACAATGGAAACGATTTCTAAGGTAATATCTCAATATTTAAAACTATACTTAAGGAACTAACTTGATTGCGGGGCAAATTTCACGTTTATTTTCTAGAATTTTAAGGAATTTTCTGAGACCTTTAGTGGCTTCTAAACTGAAATTATTCATTTCTGAAGAACAGTTGTACTTCTAAAGAGAATGATCAACGGCTCACTATCGAGTGGAAAGGAGAGCGATAGTGGAAATTGTTTTAAATATGAATTGGGTAAAATATTCTGTGCAAAAAAAATAATAATTAATTAACTCTTTACTACACTTCCTTTTCAAAACGAGCACTTTTTGTTTAGAGCTATTTAAAAAATCAATTTCCTGTTAGTTGGGAGAACTGACATATATTTTAAAATTTCCCTGACATTTTGGAAAGAATTCCAGGCTTTAAAAATCTTTTTACATTTACTTTCTCTGACCTTTCCCCCTATTTTCTTGAGTTTTATAATTGACTAACTATGATTTTTCAGTTACACAGGGAAGTCTCACTCAACTGACTTACCTAACAGAACCAACTGTCAAATCTCAATGACTTGACAAACCAGGAATTTGCAAGCGAGTGGGAAATCTGCCAAGATTTGTATGTAGGTGGATCCCCACCCCCCAAAAAGGTTACAAACACCAGCATCTGAAAAGTAATTTCCCCAGATTGTAGACAAATGTATATGATCTAATACAAATGTATATGAGAGAATACCTTTCCCCCAGATCGTAGACAAATGCAGTACTTGTCTAGCAGCGGCTGCGTGGGTATGTAAAGTTAAGTTCGAAGACGCTTCAGAGCGACTGAAACGGCAAGATGTTTAGAAAAACAATCTCGCTTGGAAATGCGAGCCGTGATTCGTTATCCTGATCGAGTATCTAAAGCATGGCCATACCGTTGCTGCCGATCGTTATTGTGCCATTTTGACAAGGTTACGTGAAGCCATCCGAAGCAAGCACCCTCTCATCTTGAGCGATGGTGTCATTCTCCTGCATGACAATGGCTGGTCTCATACAGCTAGACAAACTCAAGAATTTCTTCAAAGGTTTAAATGGGAAGTATGGAGTTTATTCCCCTTCCCCACACAGCCCAGATTTAGCACCCGGTGATATCTCCGTGTTCGGAAATTGAAGGAACGTTTATCTGGAATGAGGTTACCTTCAGACAGCGATGTGAAAACAATCACCTAGAACTGGCTCTGTGGGCCGGGATGTGATTTCTACAAAGCCGGGTTGAACACGTCGGTCCTGCGCTGAGATGATAGGTAAGTAAGCCTCTTAATTCCCTTTTATATTTTCTGGCTATTGCTAACAAATAATGTTTTACTACACTTGTAATCTTTTTTTGGGATGTACCCTCGTATATACATAATCGGTAATATCTTAGTATACTTACCTATGGACCTTAAACAAGTCAGGTTGCGATACTGAAATCCACTTCCACATGTGGGTACCACAACCTTCGTTTCTCCACGCTGGTTGTGAAGTCGGATTTCACATGTGCTCCATTCCAAAGGGTACCACTGATACCTGAAATTTAATTTGTTATACTGTAGGGTTCCAAAATTAAATATCATTTAATGATTTTTATCTTTTAAACTCAAAGCAAACTGAAGTGGGTGCTAGCATGATAAAACAAGAGACGGCGCTTCTCTTTTAAAGAGTCCATTTCTGATGTGTTGAACCCCTTACCCGAAAAAAGACAATATATATATATATATATATACACTGAAGATCTTTTATACATAATTACCTTCCTCATTTAACCGCCCAGACTGGAGAGTGGTTAGTGACTTCGATTGCCATGTCGAAGGGCACGGGCTCTAATCACGAAGAAGACATGGATGTAAACTCTCTGTAACTTCATAGGAGGCAACGATGGCCGCCTGTTAGCTGCTCCTATAATAAAATGGCCACTGCTTCCGGCCTTAGTAGTTGCCAAAGCATAAAATGGTTAGTGCCCACTATTTTCTCGTTATTTGGCCCTCATCATTATTTGTATTTAAATTAAGTAATTATTTGCCTTTTTTGTTGCACCATAGGCGAAAAAAATGTGTGCTTGCTTTTCGGATGAAAATAAATATACTGTATTTTGTTCTACAACGTTTTAAATTGCTGGCGCAGTGCTATTTTATTCTTTAAACTTTGGGTGCTATTTTTGTCATTTAAACGTTAATACTTTGGGTGAATTCTTCACTAACAACCTCTCGCCTACTTTCTGCTGCAAGTATGCAAATAAAACGCATGTGAAGTTTATAAAAATTTTATTAAGATCTCATAACATAATAAATAACTAAAATATTTAAAACCTCATTTGAATTGCAAATTGAGATGCAGTCTAAAACAATTTACAGCAGATGTGAAGAATCACTAGCTTGCGAAAAAATTAACAGCTACCTAAAAGACGGCAACAAATTGCAGTTTTAATTACCTAATCAATCAGACATTTGGAAACATTCTAATTTCGCAGATTCTAAAACTTTCACTTACCGAATGACTCTTAATTCACGGTCAACGAGCAGCCGAGAAGCAAACTCCAAATTGAGGAGCGCTGCCTGAAGCAAGAACTACTCTTATTAGACTTAAGTGTAAATTACTGCTCAGAAACCGCAATATTTAAATTTACTCTGGCGTAACTGAGATTCGTATAAGGTATCTGGACTCTATAACGACTAGCGAAAATAAAATTTACTGTTAGTAAAATAACAGAGTTGTCACAACTTTATAAAAGCCACTGATGATCGATATTATACAGACATTCAGTCTCTTTTTTACTGATGAATTTTATAATAAATATCATTGTCTTGTAGATTGATGATTTGGGAATGTTGATAGCGATTATGATAGATGTTGGAGCATGAAATATTTGAAGCTTACAGTCATGGCAGATTTTAAACATTCATTTTATTTTAGTCAAACATTCTGCAACCTCCTAATACTTGGCATACTAAATGTACCTGCTCTAGAACGTAACATTTACATTTTTGATATTGTTGCCATAGGAGGACCAGCATGAAGTAGCAGCCGAGCTGAGTCGAGGTGCAGGAGCAAAGTGTATTGTGTTCAGGACAAAATCTTAATTCAGAGTGGGTTATTTTCAATTGCAATGCAATTTAATTGGATATTCAATAGAGCTCCAAATTATTACTGGCCATTAACTTCATTTACGTCACTGTTATGTCAAAGTTATATGAGAAAATTCAATCTGGAAACGACACAATCCAGGAAAAGTTATTATAACCAGTTACTATTTTTAGAACAGAGACGGAAAATACCCAAATTAAAATGAAAATTAAGGTGCTATTGCTAATTTAAGTTATAATTTTGATTTAATATAGCTATTTCAATTACATTATTTTTCCGTTTTGAAAGAATTCCATACTAAGTTAAAATAATAAAACATAACCTACTTCACAACTATTTCATAACACTAATTTTTCAAAAAAATTAAATAGGATTTGATAAAAGACATAGTGTGTTACTCACTTATAACAACGCGGAATATCAATTGTAACCATTCGCTGCTCAAATAGTGGCGGACATGGCTCAGCACCCGTTCCAACTGGCATCTGAAGTAGTCGGCGAGTTCGAATTCTTGTCTCCGGATGGACTTTACCATCAGAACTGATACATCCTTCTACTGTCACATTCCATTCACTCCATGGAGACACGGCGCAATGCACTGGCACAACACACCGGCGGACCAATGCAGGAACGTCCACAACATTGCAAAAACTAGTGGGGAAAGAAAGTAAATTTCATGTGCAATGCGCAAAAGTATTTTGCAAAAATAAATGAATATGACTTTAAATTATAGAAAATTGGAAACAGTTAAGTATACTTGTAACTTCTGAGATGGAATTCATCGATAGCACATAAACCACAATGGATTAAATGCGCTCTTTAAAATTCACTATATTTGTTTACCATAGTGATACTCTGGCGCTAAGTTCCCTTAAGAGCGTTTACATTTAATTCATTTCATAACTGAGAATGCACAGAATGTATATTATCTGAACAATTATCTAATCGTTGTCACAAGTTCTATGCAAATATTATAATAAATCTAAAACGATGTATAAAATAAATTAAACAAACAAACAAAAAAGAAAGAGTTTTTCACAGACGATTCAGTATTCCTCATTCAATAAATTCAGTCCTTACTTCGCTACAAGGCTAAAATACATAAAAACTCAAAATGCCTGTATTGAAAATTATGAAGTAAATCGAAACACTTATTTCCTCGAATAAATTCCAGAATGGATTAAGTATGATTTAATTCGCAATAATAAAAGAAAGCGTTATTTTTACTGTTGCAAAGCTTAATTTCCTTAGATTTTCAACAAATCCACTATTCTGCCAAGTTTCAAATGTAAACAAACATGGCCACCATGCCAAAAATAATTACGTTTAGCCGCACTTAAATAACTTTTAAATTGTTGATAATTTTACAAATATTGCATGTAGATTTACTAAAGGCATAAAAACCTTAACCAGAAGATAATTATTTTTAAAGCAAAAAAATACACAATTTACAAACAAATAAAAATAAAGAAACTGAAATCACTAAGCCGAGTATATACCGGGTGATCAAAAAGTCAGTATAAATTTGAAAACTTCATAAATCACGGAATAATGTAGATAGAGAGATAAAAATTGACACACATACTTAGTAGAATGACATGGAGTTTTATTAGAACCAAAAGAAAGTTCAAAAAATGTCCGACAGATGGCGCTGGACAGCAAAACGTCAGTGACTGCGCATGGAAATCGTGTATAAAAGGAGCTGTAATGAGAATCAAAAGTATCAAAAGAGAGAATCAGATGCACCAGCAGTCGCAGCATGTTGACGTTACCTAAGAAGGCGCTTTTAATGAAGCTGTATTATCAGAATGGGGAATGTGCTAGTTCAGCGTTACGATCCTATCGCCATAGGAAGGGGATTCGAACGGGTAAAGGTCCGTTGACAAATGCAGGTGTGGCGAGAATGATTTCGAAGTTCGAGGCCACGGGTTGTTTACAAGATAGACCCCGTAGTGGGGCCGACCGAGCACAAGGCGTAATGCTGCTGAGACAGTTCAGGAAGACTACTGTTTAGTTGGCACTTAGGCGTACCCTCCGATGCTCTCCTTACAAAATCCATCGACATCACGAACTGTTACCTGGCGATTTAGTGAAGCGGATGGCATTTGCGGTGTGGGTGTTTCAAAAGATGGCGGAAGATGACGATTGGTTGAGTAACGTGTTGTGGACCGATGAAGCTCATTTCACACTCCGAGGGTCTGTCAACGCCCACAACTGCAGAATTTGGGCTACCGAAAACCCTAGAACTGTCGTGGAAACTCCATTGCACGACGAGAAAGTCACGGTATGGGTTGGATTTACCACATCTACTGTTATCGGGCCTTTTTTCTTCGAGGAAATGCGTGATTCTGGGTTTGTAACTGCAACCATGACGGGTGAGAGGTACGCCGATATGTTACAGAATCGCATCGTCCCCAGCCTGGCTGATAAACACCTGCTGGAACGTACGATTTTTATGCAGGATGGCGCTCCACTCCATACTGCTAGACGCGTGAAAGATCTCTTGCGCGCGTCGTTTGGTGATGATCGTGTGCTCAGGCGCCACTTTCGTCATGCTTGGCCTCCCAGGTCCCCAGACCTCAGTCCGTGCGATTATTGGCTTTGGGGTTACCTGAAGTCGCAAGTGTATCGTGATAGACCGACATCTCTAGGGATGCTGAAAGACAACATCCGACGCCAATGCCTCACCATAACTCCGGACATGCTTTACATTGCTGTTCACAACATTATTCCTCGACTACAGCTATTGTTAAGGAATGATGGTGAACATATTGAGCATTTCCTGTAAAGAACATCATCTTTGCTTTGTCTTAATTTGTTATGCTAATTATTGCTTTTCTGATCAGATTATTGCTTTTCTAATAAAACCCCATGTCATTCTAAGTATGTGTATCAATTTTTACCTCTCTATCTACATTATTCCGTGATTTATTAAGTTTTCAAATTTATACTGACTTTTTGATCACCCGGTACATCTAATGAAAGCAAAAATTTTGGAAGCACTGCATTGGGAGTTAGTTTCACGCACTTTTTCTGAAGAATTTGCATCGATGATATCTAACTTTAGGAACGATGAACTTGCAGATACTTTTTCCATTGGAGTTCTAGGCAGCAGGTACACATCGTGTCCGACTAAAAGTCTCATGGTATAAAATGAATGGTTTGGAGCTTGGCGGTGGCGTAATAGATGAGTAGCGAAGCCTGATTCGCAATATTTGGTTCACATACGGACGAGCGTCTTATGCGCTCTACATTTTTGTTAGATTAGCACATATTCCTTGAACAAAGAAAAGAGCCGCAAAGTTTCTGGCCAGGAGGAAAACTTAAGCATAAATGACGCATCAATTCATAGAAAAAAGGAAGGGAGTTAAAAAATTCAGTTTTTTAGTTTTGGTTTACAATTCGGTGATTGGTCAAGAGGCATCTGCATTAAGGGTTACATAAGATCGCATGATTAATTTGAATGACGCAGTTTAGACTTAAGCGCTATTTTTAGGACAGGTAGATAAAGTTCCCAAATGAAATAGAAAATAAAAGAGGTTATAGTGAATTAAATTTAGAAGTTTGCTTTTATTTTTTATCTTACACATTCTCTCCTTTCAAAAGAAAAAGGCAAAGCGATAGAGAAGCCTTTTTGAGAGAAAAGCATTAGAGTAGCAAAACATGAGATATATAATTTTGAAACATACAAAATACAATATTAGCGTTGAACAATAAAATTATAATACGTAAAATTTTAGTTCAATAATAATTTTGGTTTAATCCTAGTATCCGGTGCACACGGGATTTGGCTACTTTTGGCGACTTTATGATGATCAGTAAATGGTACATACCGTCACCATCGATATAGAACTCGATGGTGACGGTATGTCCCATAGTTAGTGAAAGTTAGTCTAATAGTTAGTGAAAGTTTTTAGGCAAGCCCCGATAACTACGAGTTTACTCTTCTTGCAAACATCTTTTTAATAATCGCCGTGGATTTATTAAAACAATATTAACAATAGTATCTATTTAATTTAGTTGTAATGTTATAAAGTATTTCTCTCGTCTTCTTAGCATGCCTTCGCAGTGCAGTGGTCAGCACGCTGGGCGCGTATTCCAGAGGTCCGTGGTTCGATTCCAGGCGAGGCCTTTGCTCATAATTTCAGGACGAGTAGGGGCAGCGTTCACGGTCTTTTCGAACAATGAAGAAATTTATCAAGCACAATTCCGTCTAAGCGATCATGCTTCAGTCTTCCAAGCCGAGTCCCTAGCACTCAAAGAAGCAGCACTATGGTTAGGTACACAACCAGCAGCTCACACTTCATTCTTCACAGATAGCATGAGCGTTCTGAATGCGCTGAATTCCTTTCCTCCAAACATCCACACACGGCAGCACTTAGAGAGATCTTCTTGACGTTAGGCTCTTCCATACCTTTAAAGATCAACTGGATAAAAGGACATACCGGGCAGAAAGGCAATGAACGAGCGGATGAACTAGCTAAGACTGCAGCTCTTAAACCAGAAATTGACAAGGAAGTTCCGCTTTCCGCAGAAGTTGCAAAAAGGCTCCTCAAGACACGCATTTCAAGAGACATGGGCATCACGATGGCAGGAAGAAGAGACAGGAAGATTTACTTACAACATCTTCCCAATACCTTCTCTCAAGAGGCTGAAATGCAACCGACTCTTCCTCCAAGCCTGTACCAACCACGGGAAATTCCCAGCGTATTACAGACGTTTCCTCAGACGGGACGTCAACTGTTCTTGCGGTTTTCGCGGGGAAGACGCGGATTACCTGCTCTCCTGCCCTCTGACAGAGCACCTTCGACAGCAGTTCTTTCCTTCCGACTACATCACATATCCTGTGAATAGACTGTTCACGGACTATTACTGCAACAAGGGCATCTTAGAGATAATGAAGCAAGTGAATGAAAATAATTATATCCAAGAAACTACAGATTAAAGTAAAATGTAGAAAGGCGGCCTAACCGTCAGATTGCTAGCAATGAATAGGATAACTTCCTAACCCTGTAGTGCCATTAACTCAGTTTGGCGGAACAGGTTAAGTAAAGTGACCATATATCTTCTGCCTCGAAATAACCTAATGACTCTACAGCGGCACCCGAACTAAAAGGTTGGTGGATGATAATTCTCCACACCCAGGATTTGGCGATGGGGTACCCTAAAAACCTCAGTCGCCCTTTAAAAGAGGGAGTATATAAAGTATTTCTCTCGCCTTCTTAGCATGCCTTCGTAGTGTAGTGGTCAGCCCGCTGGGCGCCTATTCCGGAGGTCCGTGGTTCGATTCCCGGTGAGGGCGCTGCTCATTTTTCATCTCTTCTGCTTCCAGTTATCCTAATGTTATTTACATTAACAAGTTCTTTATAATTTCAGCTTTCACCATAACTTCTGCTTTCTGTTATTTCATCAGAATGCAAATTAGATAAATTAATAATTAAACTGAGGCTTTCGGATTGTGTGCGTTTCTGCCTTTTGCTGAAATGTTCCATTAGTTTCTTCCAGCTCTGATAAGTCGTAATTATTCGGCTTAGAGTTATCGTTGCCGAATTTTGAATTTGATACCCGTCAGTTTAAATTTCTGAGTCAGTTTAGATTACAATTTAATTATTTAGTCTTTGCCTACTATTTTACGTTTCAAATTAAAATTCACTGTTACTTTAGTAATATCACTACGAATTGTAGTCGATATATTAGCACAAGAAAGTGTATTTATGTTCAAATTTCTGTTTAAGAGAAAAGCTTATTAAAACCTTTTCATGGTTTATAGTTACTTTAGACATAGCGATAATTCGCTTTGCGTTTGTTAGTGGTTTGGAACTATTTAACCTTTATCAGATAAAGGTAAACCCCATACAGATATTCGCAAAACATAATTTAATTCAAAACAGTTTTCGAATGAAGATGTTGCTTTAAAAACGCCTTAGAATCGAAGAAATGCGGCATTTTGAGAAAAGCTAGAAAATATGAGACGATAATTTCACATTCACTGAGATACAAGAACTCTATAATAAGTGCTAATAAATAATTACATACCCTATTCTGGATACTATGGTTAAGTTTCTGTCACTTATTTAACACTATTTCGTTTTACGTGAACACTGCTATCTAATATAAAAAGCTAGTGAGTACTAGAAGAGAAGTTTAATACAAACTAACACAGTTTCTCAGATAGTTGAATATGATTACCGCGGTGCAGGCGGTTGTACATGTCACCAGCAATATTAAGCCAATTAACAATAAATGTTTTACCTGATATCCGTGACTTCTCCATCCTCTGTGATGCAGGTGAGATTCCTCCGGCTCAATCCAATGAGAGGGTGAAGTGCTATTTGGATTTCCTCTTCCACCCATGAAATCCGGTTTGCATTGACGTTATCAGGCACCTGACAAGGACTCCATTCACTGATCTGTGTGGGACAGAACCAGAACAGGACTAAGCATTATTTGACTATATATGAAGGAAAGCAGGACATGAACTCTCTTGTAAGAAGGAGAACTCGATGTGGTTGGTTGAAGGATCAAGTTATTTTAGTACGTGACACGTAATTTGAACTTTAAAAGTTTGTGTTATAAATTTGATTTTTTTATGCATGATTTGACCATGCATTTTAAAACCATTATCATACATCGATCTCTTTAATTTTTATTTCTAATGGAAATCCTAGAAACATATGCAAGATTCCTTGAAATCTGTGCTTAAAAATAATGTGCCTACAACTAATAGTATACTTATGGAAACTTTAAAGTTTGCAGATACCAAAAATGTAAAACAATCAATTGTACTCGAGCCGGGATGCAAGATGTGTATTTTACAGTTCGATCAAGTTTTAGTCATTTAGGCAAGAAGGCAGATATGGGAGAAATGTTATGAATTATTCCTCTCAGATTCTCTCCCACTTAAAGCGAAAATAAGGAGGAGCACGAGGTATGTTCGAGGAAATCCAAGGGCAAGGAGTTTTCGTTCATTTCGCTTGCATATTTTAGTTCGGGTGCCACTGAAGAATGAATTGAAATTTCGCAAGCACGAAACGAGGACCATTAATTATGCTATCGCCGGAATTTGAATCAAGAATTTTCCAGTTTCTTAACTGAACCTGCTCTTCGCTTACACCTTGACAGCAAGCACGGGAGAAGGTGCTAAATTTACGCGTTAACCTACTTCGCAAATTGTAAATAAAACGATTCAGTAATCGTCAGCGATGTCGTTATTTTATTCCGCAATCATCAGCGATGGAATTTTTTTTCCCGTGAATCTATTTATGTTCAACGTTTTATTCTACAATTTTATCAACTTCCTGTGTAGTACAGTACGGCTCATTCATTCGTTTCGAGTCAATGAGATAATTAATAATCCAGTCACATGGATAATAAAACAGTCGAGTACTTGATAAATAAAATCCCAACAAGTGACTCAAAAATACTATATATTAGCCTACACAAATTTTTCACATATTTGGTTGAGAGTGAGGAACAGGGTCATTTCCACACTAGCCAATCAACATTAATCAGCAATAACTGGTTAACCGTTCTATCTGAGCATGAATAAGGATATGTCAACCAAAATATTTCACAGTATTATATTATTTTAATTGCGTAAACGCATCATGAGTAAATTAAGAGAAAGATAACTGAAAAAAAATTATTAAGTGAACATGTCAATAATTTTTGCCAACTTTTGCGGCAACACTTGTAGTGATTCGAAAATGTGACAGTTTAAAAAAAAAACTGTGGTGACCAGATACCAGTTATTCGGTTTTTAATTAAAGCATCCAATGCCATATCTCTGCAGCATAGTAACGAGTAAAAGAACACGGGATATTTTTAAGATAATGTTTTCTAATTATGTTCCGAATAACGAAAATTTAATAAAAAAGTTATAAAATACTATAACTATAAACGTAAAACTGAAGTTTTATGGAAATATTCCTCAAAAAACTAGTTTTGATGAAAGTGTCGTTGAATTTAACTCCTAAACAGATGACCCGCAGCGATATTATCAGGTATTTTCTCCCGCCATCCAGCTTGACTTTGTATGTAACGGTAGCACACTCGGCGGTATTCGAGAGGTCCAGATTTGAGACCTGGTGAGGGCATTGCACATTTTTCATGTGGAAAAAAAAAAAAATCACTCTATAGTGGCACCCGAGCTGAAAGGCGGTGAACAATAATTCGTCACCACCAAGATCTGAAGACTGGGTCCCCTAATCCCCAGTCGCTTAAAAGGGGGAGTATAAAAGGTTGTTGTTGTTGTTTTAAGGGAGGGAACGCCCGCTTCCCCCCGAGCTGAAACAAGTTCAGCCATCAGGCCATAACAGGGGCCAACCCATCAAACAATAATGGAGAACAGCGAACCAACCATGTTCCATCAAATTATTCAATCAAATCAAAATTCTCTACTCTATTCTTCTTCTGATTCTCTATTCTAGCTTCTCTATTCTGATTAATTCTCATTATAATTTCTTCAGCTACTTGTTTAAATTTCTCATAACTTTCAAAATCCCCATTTATATCAAATTGGTATTTCTGAACTATGTATAGTATATAAAAGGTATTTTCTCCCTCCTTCCAGCATGCCTTTGTGCTGTAACGGTAGCACACTTGGCGCGTATTCGAGAGGTCCAGGTTCGAGTCCTGGCGAGGGCATTGGTAATTTTTAATGTTTCCTGCTTCAAAATAACCTAAGTGTCTACAATATAAGTGACTAAAAAGTAGTAGTAGAAATGTGAAGGCATTATGTGGTATTAATATTTTTCTGAGTTTCCAACAACTGCTCAAGAAAAACGGTCGGGTTCAACTAAAAATTATCAGGGTCAGTGGAAAAAATGATGATAGGGGGAGCAAGGTTGCGTACTAAACAGCATTTAATTTCTATTTAGGATTCATGTAGGTCTTAAACATTTATTCTCTGCAGCACTGCTCTAGTATTATTTCAAGATCTATCAAATACGTGAAAATGAGAAATAATAAATAAAAGACACAATAATAATAATAATAATAATAATAATAATAATAATAATAATAATAATAATAATAATAATAACAACATACAACGTACTAACAGATAATAAAGAACGATAAAGGATTATGATGCGATATATATACTTCACACACATAAATACTACAGAATTAATTGATAAATCGCACCCACCAAAATATTTCCAGTATTAAAAAATATTTCATTATAAGCATTTACAGAGCAATTCTCTTTTTCTTAAATATAAAAGTAAGGGATCCTGCACTTTAATCTTAATCTAAAGACATGATACAGCAATGAAAAATCACTGTTGTTTGATTGGTTAATTCTCGTACAATTTCAAAGACAAAAAAATAACTAAATGATTGTACTGATAGCGTAATACATTTAGTATCTTTTTTAATATACATAAATCGCATATAAAATGTTTACTCGAATCTCTTTAAAAGCAAATAATAAGTTACAAATGAAGTATTCGTATTAAATTTGTATATCAAATATTTTTATTAATTTTTCCTTAGGAATTATTTTCAGAAAATTATCTATTTTATTGGACTTTTTAACAAAATGCTGTACAATAAAAATAAAGTAAAAGATTCCCAAACACAGCTTCCCACAATTTCGAGGTGATTTTGCTCCTCTGTAGAGGTGAATAATTTAGAGAGCTTGGCTAATGGGGATGTTCAAATCAATTATATAATTACGATTTGAGAAATATTGGTCCCTTTTAAATTTGTTTTTCTTAGGAAGTTGGTTAAGATGATAGGTTTCACGGTATTATCAATTCTAACATCTAAAAGAAAGAATAAATTTACTGTCAATATTTTACTCTATTTTTAAGCAGCCATTTAACATTATCTTTAAGAGTACGCATTTAACAGTATCTCTAAGAAGTAAATTCTTAACAGAGGGAAACATTTGATAAGCGTTTTTGTATTTAAATCTTTGAAAGATGAGATTCATGTTCAGGATTTGGGTTTAAAGGTTATAACTCTTTTAGGCTCTAAATCTCTAAATATCTAGAGCGAGCATTATTATTATTATTATTATTATATTATGTCTCATTTGAATAATATGCTGTTCTAAATAAGGTTTTTCATTTAATCTGCAGTATAGATTTTCTCTTTCACTGAGTCACAGTAAACCATGGTCCTTTAACCGAAATAGAATGCATGTAAAAGCCTAGAAAGCTAACCATAATTACAACTCAAACAAGACTTCTCTGTTTCTCATGATCTCTATCAGCAGTTTTTAAAGCACTTAATTTTTTCTCACGTGCGAATCACTTTTATGAATTAAAACGTTCTACGGACCACTTTACTCTTGTCCCTTTGAAAGTAAGATTTATCAGTGTACTTATATTTTTAAAATAGAATTAATTAAGATCCAATCGATTTTACATCGCTAGAAAAAAAAAATTACATATATTTCTTATACTTCAAGGCATTTTAGACATTTCTTATCTTATAATTTTAAAATTAAATAAGTATTGGTACTCATATTAATGCGATGGATCAACCTGCCGAGTCCTGGATAACTGTTCTACATTTAGATGTACGCTGGCAAGAAGTACCATAGTAATATCGCTTCAAATTCTTAAAAAATTGTTGCAAGAGTGCGAAGTCCGTAGTTAGAAAAGTCGATAATATATTTCACAAAATGTTAGTCGTGGAAATATACATATGTAATAAAAATAAATTTAAAAGTACTGATGTAGGAATACTGAGACGCAGAAATACTGATGGCGCAGCACTTAGATAGCATACAGCGTAGATCCACATTGAAAAGGAAGACTTCTGATTGCGTAGAATGCTAAAATGTTGAACCCATAATAAACAGCAAACTTGGCAATCGAGCCAGATTAAATCATCATTTTTACTAAGATTGACATTTTTAGCCACAATATACTTATTTACATTACATAAGATTTACATATTTGATACTGTTGCGATAGGGAGATAGCACAGAAAAACAGCGTCCAATCGGCGGGAGAGGTACAGTAAAAGTGCGCAGTTATCCAATATGAAAGCTCACCAAGAGAAGGTTTTAGTTTCGGTTAGAAAAGTTTCAACTCTCAAAATTCTGAGTTCAAGTACCGAATTAGCTACGTCATCAGCTTTACGCAAGACATGTGACATAGAATGATCTAGAAATGACGTAGTCCAAAAAGGTTCTTACGATTTTAGAATAGAGAGAGGATATGCCCAAATAAAAAATGATGAATTAACAGACTATTACTAAATTAAATTATCAAGTTGATTTAAAAATTTTTATTCCATACATATCTATATCTATATATAATTACCATGTTCCAAACTCTAAGAATTTCAGCTATAGTGAGATATAGGCAATTCATTTGAATTTTATGTTTTAGAAATCTAAGAGAACCACAAGAGGAGGTGTCGAACACCCGACGAAGAAACGCTGGAGTAATAAATTCGAGATTGTCATTTCATACTTTACAATTCCATATTGTCAAAAATTAAAGACAAAACAAACTGCTATCCCAGTTCATAAAAAAATAATTGCTTTCTAAATGCTTTTTTCTAAATGGCACATATTCCGAGGAAAAAAAACGAAGAAATGCGATTAGTTTTTAAACCATTTAATCATTAAAAAAAAGCTTAGTTACCCTACTGCCAAAAGCCCACCACAAAGAAAAAAAAGATGATAGGTAGAACGTTGATCTGCAGTAATATCTTTGCTACTGGTAATTAGATAGAATCCTTCTTCTAATTAACTCGGTAATCAGCTACCAACGAATGGTTTCGCACGTTTTTTGAAGCGTTTTTCTCGTTCTTTTGTTCTCAGCGTATGCTGAAATTCCCATCAGTTTTATTAATGGAAAAGAAATTTAATTAAATGGTTGTGCTGGTAGAGAAAAAAAAAAGCTGCGATAAATAATAGAAGAGAAGGAAGAAAGCATACAGAGCCTTGCCATTCGTACACCTGAACATGCTGGTTACAGGGACTTAACTGGCGTGATGAGGTTCTGAGATCTTTGTTTAAAACACTCAGGTAAGAAACAGAATGAACGAAAGAAAAAAAGTAACTCTAAAACGGACTGAAAAATAATGCTGAAACTTCTTGCAAAGACAATAGTTCCATGAAATATTGCGTTAAATCAATGACAGATTTAAGCGTTTAGAGAAAGCATATTCATATCTGAGTTTGCTTCATCATATTACAGAAACACATTTGAAAAACGTACAATTCTCACCAGAAACAAAAGAATACCATTAAGAAAACAATGTAGTAATGAACAAAAGATTGATTTATATTTTTATTTTGCAAACTTTTCAAAGAAAAGCACTTCTAGACCTAAAAAGGAGACTGTCAGAATAGGGGTGAAAATGTTTTACTTATCGTATAAATTATAGTAATGTATTTCTTAGCAGTGTAACAAAATTAATTATTTTTTAATTGAATAATAACTACTACTCAAAGACTAGATAATGAAACTGAAACACTTGCCAAAAGTAACACTACAATTATCAAGCCAGAACATGCTCTTTCATTTGGGAATCCTGGAGAAATTACAATTTAACAACAGAAAAAGAGTGTAAAAGTTTGATTGTGAGCGAAATCAGAAGTACCGATTAAAATGGAGAGTTACATGATATAAATGGAAATTAGTATATAGGAGTTCAAAAGAGAACAAATTATTGATAATCGTCTGGCTGGTCTAGGAACTTACAAGATTAATATTCACGGACCAGCAGCCGTAGGATAGCCATTGATAAACAGCGACTATGCCTGAGTTGTCAGAAGCACGAGGCACAGACACACCACAGTTGCGCTATAAAGTCTTAAACAATTCGAAGAAAAATTTATGCGCACTCCTTCAGAAGTACATCATTTCGACTGTGTCATATCCAGATTGAAGTACTGGATTATTAAAGTCTTAAACAATTCGAGAAAAAGTTTATGCGTACTCCTTCAGAAGTACATCATTTCGAATGTGTCATATCCAGATTGAAGTATTGGATACTGAGTCGTAAGAGTTTGAGCCGCAATATCATGGAAGGCTTCGGGAACGTTAATTGTTCTTAACGGTTATCTTACTATCAAAGCTTATCGATGGATAAAACATACTCAGTTTTCAAACTTTGTACCCCAAAGAAAGTGCTATATATCAGGATGACAAGGTATCAGTTTACACCGCGAAATAAGTCTTAGGTGTTTTGAAAGAATGTGAAAGTGAGCTTGAGCATGTTGCACGTACTGCACAATTTCCTGATCCCAGCAGCACTGAGCCTCTCGTAAGTATGCTAGAAGAAAAACTTGAAAAAATTTCTTTTCTCCCCAGCATAGTCATTATTTTGCAAGAGGAATAATTAAAAAACACTTTTCAGGTTACAACAAGGTTTTTAATCAACCATTTTCAAGCAGAATCGCTGCAATTATAGACGTCAGAAAGACAAGGTGCAGTGTATTGATAAAGAATTATACTTCAGATGCATGAGCTTCGGTTCCATAATCCAAACTTTATAATTTGATTCCACACTTACTGTGATGCATCTCTATTCTACACTTACTGACATATATACCGTCTATAAAATTTAAAAAATTATATTTGTGATATAACATGATGCTCAATCCAGCTGGAAAATTTCGTAATATTTCGCAAAATCTCATTTATCATCATTTGGCAAAACCAGCTTTCAATTTTGGACATAATTTTATCAAATCGGAAAACAACATCCCTCTAGGTATTACAAAAGTTATTATTTATACTTAAACACCTCAAACGTTAATTCATTGTAACTTGCAATAGAAAAATTGTAAGGTTTATCTATTTATTTTTAACTAATAGTTCATTTTAAGTTGAAAATTCATGCCAGAATGCAAACTAAATGAGATAACGAGAGTTTATTCAGATTAAGGTAGAATGAAGTGCTATTTAAGCAATAGTCTGGGAAGTTAGTTTCGATAGCATGTCTGCCTACTCTAAGCCACATTGTGCTGTGATTATTCGCGACTTGCGTTAGCAGCATTAATGTGTTCTTTCCTTTAAGCTTATCTCGCCGGTTACTTTAGACCCGAGCTCCTCCAGCGCGTTAGAGTATTCTGTGAGCCGTTAGGCTAACCTATGCACCTTGAAATTACTATTTGATATGTATTTAGAAGTGTTGGCTCCTTTTAACCCAAGTTAGGTCATTTGTTAATTTTACGATTGAATAAAGGGTCTTATACCCTCTTTTTCTGATCTCTGTTTAGTTTCACAAGGTTAGAAGATAAGTCTTCAAAAGATCTTTTCAGAAGTTTATGTTTCCTATGTGGCGTAGACTTTACGAACTTATCTGTAGTATAAGTGTTTTAAATACCTATTTATTTATTTATTATCCTTTTGAATGTACAATTCCATTTAATCATATGCCTTTTTCCCTATTAATGTATTTCCTTAAAACACGGACACCGTTTTTGCAACATTCACGTGATCCAGTCCAATGGCAGCCCTTTAGAGCCAGTCTGCTTCAGAAAGACCTAACCAATTTTACTGCTCTGAGGTTAGTTGATTTCCAACGTTTCCGCCAAATCAAAGTTCCTATAGGTAGGAAAGGCTATAAAAGCCCTAAAGAGCTTCAATTTTCAATTTTTTTTTTTTTTTTTTGTTAATGCTAACTTAATAACTCAAGAAACATACCAGCACAATTTCTTAAAACTGTTGAAGAATGTTATTCTTACAAATAAAATGGTTTAAACAAATAAAATGGTTTTAAAAGTTTAAAAGTTTAAACAAATAAAATGGAAATTGTGTTTTGATTATCATTCTTATAAATCAACAGTCGCCTCTTAAATTATAATAAATCAATAGTCGCCTCTTAAAGCATAAAAGGTCAAAATAAAAAATAATAAACATTTCGTGAGCTCGAATTATATTTTTGCGCAGTATTTTTAGTTGCAGTTATCCGTATTTTCTGTACCAAAGAATCAGGATTATAAATTCATAGCCCTAAAATAGTGTACCACTAAAACAACATTGCTAATATTAATTGGAAATTGGTTCTAAAATAATTTCTTACCTTGAGCAAGTACCTCCTATTTCCATTATCGGAATTTTTGCACAATCCAGGGAGAAGATCGGGACTGCATACTGGTCGGTGATCGATACTGGGACAAAGCATACCATCCCTATCCGGTGCGATAACTACATCCGTAACCTATGTAAGAAAAATAAATTCAGATATGCCTTGAAAAAATTCATATTTCTTCTATTTTATTTTACAGTTTAATGTCTCCTTTAGAGTAGGACGACAATTCTTGAGGTACTGTGAACCGATGCTATTATAAAAAGTTAGCAAGTGGGATTAATTAGTTAGTGTACCACATATGTATAGGATTAAAAGTTACTGGTGGGCAGTTGCTAAGGACGGATCATAAACACATGTAGCGCTAAAAAAAGTAAGTGTAGTTGGAAGCTAAGTGAAACAAAATAATGCCAGAATGCTAGGACATAACAATAAACATAACTTATTATGCTCTGAAATCCAGAAGGCTTTAGAGAGTGTTCAAGGAACAAAATGGTCATTTTGTACTGAATACGTAAAAGTGAAAGAAATGCAATTATTGCCCGCAGGCATTCTGACGTAAGGTGTCAATTACGGCATATGGCCATAGTGGGCGATGCAAGATTCCACACGTCCTGCTAAGTTTTGTTGAACATTACCCAACAGCTGTTGAGGTAATTTATCTCATTCCTCTGTCTGCGCATGGATGAGGATGTCCTTGTTTATTGGAGGGTATTGTCGACCAACAAGACGTTTCCCCCGAACACCCATAGAGAATGTGCTGGCCGTACGATGTTTGAATAACCTAGCTCTCTAGAAACTCCTGGCCAGAGACTGGTTGCGTTGTCGTCCATGAAAACAAATTTATCACCGTCAGCACCACAAAAAATGTGAACATGAAGCAGCAGAACAAAATTAATATATCGTTGGTCAGTCATAGTCCCAGCTGGAAGCGCATACAGAGACGTACAGCAGTTAATCATGATCCCAGCCCATTCCATGGCATTACTTACAGGATATCGGTCCCTTTCTGTATGTATGTTTGCTGGAATATATGCAGTATGTTTGCTCAGACCACATCGGCTGTCGTCCACAATCAGAGAGAGACTGAAGTTACTTTTATCTGAGAACAGTACACAAGCCCAGTCGTCTTTCCTCCCATTGCGTGCTGACGACACCATTACAAACGAACGGAATGGTGATGTTTGGATAATGAAATGCACACAACAGGACGGCTGGCGTATAATCCTCCTTGATACAAACGATGGATAAAGTTTTTCGGGAGATTCGCTTGCCAGTGGCAAAAAGTAACTCATTTGCTGTCTCAGTGGCTGTACTGCGACGATTCCTTTTTATTAATAGCACTAGGTACCTATCTTCTGCAGGCGTCGTACTGCGAACACGACCTCCCCCTTTGTGACATTTGATATACATTCCATTTGTTTGAAATGATTTCTAAAGACTTCAGACAATACTGTGGCTGACGTCAAACTCCCTAGAATCATCTGTTATATTTCGCCCTTCTTCAATCTTGCCAATAATACGGCCAGGCATAAAATCATCTAAGTGATGTCCAGGAGACAGACTGAAATTCGTCAATTGATTTTTTCCTGTTAAATTTTGGTTTTAAACAACAACAGTTAATATGCGTCAAGTCCTTTATATATCTTATCAGCGCTATCACGTCATGAACAACTTCCGCAATATAAAATTTGCATACGCACAACACGTCTTATTGTATCCCGCACTTATGCTTACATTTTCTTGCCTTCCATTTTGTCATTGCTATCGCTGATACTGTCATTCGTCCTTAACAATTGTCCACAAGTGTAAATATTGAAAGTTGTAGCAAAATAGTATATGATATAGTTTTTTTAGGAAAATATTCATATAAATTTAATATAATCTAAAAAACTGTATATATACGCTTACTTTTGTAGTTATCGTTTAATACGTGTTATGTATTTAAAACATAATTTTAAAGGTATACATTCATTTTACCTCAAAAACTTAACATAAAAAATTGAAGGAAACAAATTCCTTTTTAATACACGACATAGATTAGATTTTCTTACATTACGTGCTAATCCAAAGTACAGTTTTGCAAATCTTGTAATATGGGAACTGCAGCCAATATAATACAACGGACATTTAGCTCCTTTGTTAAGGAAAATGCAAATAGTATGTTAATGACATTAACACATACACACAGTTGGAAAGTAAGATTTCACTGAAATCGGTCTATTATAAATAATGATTTTAGTTATCTCGTCATGAAAGTTCCTTCTCATAAATTTGTATCTCTTCCGCGTGTTACTAAATAGCCCTTTTTATTTCATCTACGGCGACAAAATATATGTTCAACGAAAACAAACTGCGTTTAGAAATAAAAGATCAGATGTCTGCTTCTTGGAAGCGCACGATCAGCTTGTTTGGCATCAATGCTAAATAAATGTACTATCTTACAAATTACTACCATTATTCACATACTTACACATCATTTGATTTGTACATCCTGTCCACAAAAGGATTTCAACAACCCTTGATCAAAACATATCCTTCCAAATACAAAATGTTTTAAATGTCGCAGATATTTATGCCTTTGGAATTTTTAAACTTAAAAAGAATTAATTTCATAAAAACTATAAATCTAACTACTTAAATGTCTCCCAGGCTCCTATATTTGTATCTAGGAAAGCTTTATACTACTTACGAAAAATAAAATACTCGTACTTCAAAATAAAATAATGTGATAATCGTACGTGTAGAATAAAACCGTAATATGCTACTCGCATGTGTAAAATAAAAGTGTAATACTCGTACGTTAAAAATTGAGAGAGAGTTCATTTGAGAGTTGGATTAAAATTATTAATAATACATCTGTCATGCTTCTGGTTATAGAAACAATATGCATCATATTTAGGGGCATTTTTGTAATTGGAAATATACGTTTAAATCCATTGGTTGTGAAAATGAAAGCCAGGTAAGGATTTTTGTGGACAGATGCATATTCTGAAGCATTATTTTATTTACGAATGCTATAGTAGAGTTAAATTTTTAAAAGCAAACTTTTATTTTTTAATAATGTATAAGAGAATATAAAAATTTTAACAGTTTCTTAAATCGCATTCTTTTGGAACACAAAATCTAATAATTAGTATAAAATAGGTGCACTAAATTATTTAAATTACTGCTCTGTAGATGAATGAAAGATTATTTCGTAATTTCTGTCACGAACAATAATAAAAAGCAGAACCTTTTGTATAGAAGATATTACTAAGAGAATCTGCTATAATTAAAAAAATATTGCATTTTACCTGCGAATAAATGAAAGTATTTTCCAATGCATGCAAATTTCATTGAAATTTGAACAAGCGAAGCAAGATCTGCTTGCAATACTTGCCGATCTGTGCAAGAAGGTACATAGAGGCTTATATTGTTCAATATAAAGCCGAAACACAGCCGACTCCAAGCATAGGCGACGTATAGGGCATAAAATAAGTTGTTACCATAAGTGACAATCACAACTAAAAAGGTTTATTTTGCTTTAAATTATTAGTGCGCACAATGTATACTGGAAGCATCTACACTGATGGCCTAGGACGACGAAATGCAGCAGCTGGGACGGGTTACAAAATAATTTCATGTTGACACTTACTTCTTCAATCCACTGTCCATTTGATTTGCATCCCGGTGGAATACAAGATACATTTCTTTTTCTCACGATGCAGTCTTGAGGACAATCCAGTGAGCAGGGCATCTCGGAATCAGGTCTGTCCCAGAAGTATTCACACGCTTCAGACGACACAATGCGTTGCGTTCTTTTAAAGAGACAATTGACAGTTCGACGAGCTACACCGGCAATGGAGGTTTGCCTGCAAGGCGTAGAAGGAAGTCCTCTTTTCACAGGAATGCATGGAGACCACTCACCTATCGTCCATCTAAAAGTACCAATTTACAGAAAGAAATTACGAAGTTATATGTTGAACAATGAGCTAAACTTTGACGAAATCGAATCACATGGAGATTTAAGTTACGTACCTTAAATCATGTTTGTGCTTTTGGCAAACTCTAAAACAGGATTTGACAGTTGGTGGTTTTTCAAATGAAACGCAATTAGAATCAGGGTATATGAGTCCTGTAGCATCTTGGCACCACACCTTTCGAGTCCGCAATCCCATTCCGCATCTTTCTATGTTAACGCACGCACTCCATGAACCTAAAAGCAAAACAAGGAAACATTAATTGAAAATTATTAATTAAAAAATAACATTAATTAAAAAACAAAATAACATTAATTAAACATTAATTAAAAAATAACTAAAATGTTACATTTTTTAATTCAGACTCACATGATTAAGATAATTAGAATTAAATAATCTGATTCAATCCCTATTACCAAGATCTTCTATGTACTGTAAAACTTCAATTACCCAAACTTCTGCAAATTTACATTTTTGGTAAGTAAACCTGATAAAAAACTATGCAAAAGTCGAATTTTTGATTATTTGAAACTTTTCCTGCTTCATTCAAGCGCCACATGTTCTGCCTTTCAGCTGAAGCATATCAAAGTTTGACATTATGTGAAAAGTAAGGATTCGATAATTAGTTATACATGTACTTAAATTCGCTAAACTGGTATATTTACAAAACTTAGATAACATGAATAAACACTAGAACATATTTTTCTCAGAAAGAAATTAACTACTAGCTTCCAGACCGGCTTTGTAAATCAGTGTGACGGTGTAAATTGACTGTAAATGACACAAATCTTCACCTTAGGCAAAAAAAATATGGGAAATTACGACGTTTCGCAACTTAAAAGTATTCATAAGGAAACCCGTTAATGGCATAAGACATAATTTTACTTGTTATTACTTCCTACATCGACAATGGTAACAAAGAATGTAACTGAAACTCAATTTCTCAAGGGCTGATACCAAATTTTTCTTATTCTATATGATTAATTTAGATACATAGATCTCATGTGTTTAGCTATAATTCAAATATCCTAAACTTATTATTAAGACACACATTCCTCCGTTTAAAAGATCGCACAATTGGATTATATTACTGTCTTCTCCGAAATAAGTTAGAAACGGAGTGAATTTTACATGACTAACTGCCCAATAAATTTTCTGCTAAAAATAGAAGTACTGTTTCGCTAAAAGCATTTTCTAAATTTTCATTTATTAATCCATTATCTTATTATTTTTCTGTACTGTCTCTTCTACTTTCCTTAGCTGCCACCAGGATGCAATTTAGTTACGTGTATACAATAACAAAAGAATTCTTGAAAGATCAAGGAGAGAGCTTTGGAAGGAATGCTGCTCTTCGTAGTATTTCCTCGCCCAGTTATGAGAAATACTTCAAATCGGAGTTAGCCGTTTCTTGGTGAAGTTGCTTGCCCATCTAAAAGCTGAGGAAAAGTGCGTTAAATTACCTAAATTTTAATTTCAATTTTATAATAGTTAAAATTCCTAGAATAGATTTCTCTGTAAGCGCAAGCCATGCACTGGCTATGTTTGAAGTTTTAATAAAAATTTTTATTTAAACCTTCCTCTGACTTGTAGTTGATTTACTACACGGGTAATAAGTCGCCTGACAGCCTTACAAGAAACCAAGTTTAATTTAGTGAGCGAATGGTTGGTTCCCGATAACTTTTTTATATGAATTCCTACGCAACATACAGCATCCCTTGGCAGCAGGGTTCATTCTTTATACATAGTTAACGCAGAAGTGTTTTGAAGTTTCAAGTTAAGGAATTAGAAAGGAATAAAGCCATAAATTAACGTTTTCTGTTCACCAAATATTTGACACCATTTCATGTGAGCTCAAAGTCTGTTTGAACTAATACATAAATTAACACAATAAATACAATAAATACATACACTTACACAAGTATGTTACTTTGCATCAATGCATTAAAAATTTAAACAGATCTAACTGCTACACCTTTAGAATTAAGATTCTTAATTCTAGCTGTTACAATTTTAAAAAGCATTCCTTTAAAAAAAATTGAAAGGTTTCATATTTTAAATTACTCCCAAAGGGGCGTTTTCTTAACGTTTCGTGTGTTACCTTTATTTATTAAGCATTATGTTCTTCGCACTTAAATCATAAAATTCAGTTCAACAGCAATATGGAAAAATAATTTTAAAATGAGCATATCTTTTTCCGATACAGAGTCTCGTGCGCTGGAGATTTTAATGTTTTTCCCCCCGTGCAGTGCTGCCATTGCTCGCTTTGAAATAGTTGAGTTCCTTCATAAAAAATTCTTTAATATCTAACAGAACATGAAATAGGTAATGAAACAAATTCCAAATTAGGGCTTTCAGATGCCCATATTCGCTGGAGGATTACGTTATTCAAAGTCTGATGGCTCTGGGTACCGTTGATTTATCCTAATGCGAGAAACATATATACATTTATGCAGATTCTTCATTTCTTTAAATATAATACAGGGCTGTAATAGTTGGTGGAAACAGTTTGAAAAGTGAATCAACGCAAAATGCCAAAACGAAATTAATAACCCATCTGGACTAACGCTCTTTGGTCTAAAACGAAATACCGACAAAATTCTTCTGCTATATTAGGGAATGATTTTAACTTTAATTCTTAATATCCTCTAGTCTTAAGCCATTTTCGTCTTTGTAATCTTTTACTTTTCATACTTCCTTTTTCATACATACGATGCGTGCCACTTTTCTAGAATTTTATGAATACTGACTGTTTCATTTCACTTGCAGTTCAAGACAACAGAACGGTTCGTATCTATCAAAATGTAGTTCACAGCCTCAGCCAAGACCTCCACTAGATCAATCGCGAGAAGATATTGCCTCATCTCGAATGATGGGGTGTTAATGCATGAGAAGGCCGCAAACAAACCTTACAGATGCTACATGAGCAAGCCAGATGGCTTAATGTACAGTTCCTTCAAGGTTTCTCTCTATATCATCCGTCCACGTGGAGATTCTGCTTAAGGAGTAAACAACAGTTTGATTTAATGTGGCCCACGCTCTCTCAAACTAATAGTTGGTACGTACAGTCAGAATATTTATATGCTTTCACTAGGATGACATTAATCTGCATAGCCACACAGCATAATAAATGTCTCTAGCTCAAAGCATCTAACAAGGGTTTACTACGTATTTCAGAAGATGTGACTTTTGGTATCGTACAGACAGACGCTTGAAAAAGAATGGTGAAAACAGGAAGTTACAAGCAGTCGCAAAAAGCAGATTTTAAGTAAGTGTCCCATACATTCAAAGAAAATTGGCTCAAAACAGGTAAAACGCTAAGTAAAGATTTATGAGCGAACATTTGTGTCGCATCTGCAGCTTCGATGCTCTTTATTTATTGCTCGAGTGACACAATTTTACCCTTTGACACGACCCTTTGTATTAAAATTTATGCTTCGAACGGAAAATAAACGGTTATAAAATGTTCATCAATGGAAGAACTCTAATGAAATGAATATTTCTTATATGTACAAATAAAAGAATATAAATGCGCTCTCTTCATTAATAAATCTTGGTTAAGAAAATCTGAAATCAAGATATAAGCTAGAAATCAGAACTATCTGAAAAATAAGTCCAACACTAGTCAAACAGTGCAACTTCGGCTGGTTTTAGCTTAGCTACCATTACATTAGTTTCTTATTTTTTACGTTAAGTTAAAATCCAAGGAGGCTTTCTGTAAACCCGAGAGAGGCTAAGTGTGCATAATCTTGAGTTGAATAAAAAGGTAGTTAAGCTCTTCTTTAGATCTTTTATTGAAGCCTTATAAATAAACGATTAATCGCTACATACTTAAGTGTTCTATCAGCTAAAGACTACCAACTTAGCTAGAATCTTATAGCGGAATGAGCATAATGGGTTTCTAGGCTTGACTCATACTTAAAACCCAGATTTTACATCGCGAAGAAAACTAAAATACCAGGTATTCAGCAGAATTTTGCTAGGACAAGATAAGATCAAGTTATTTGTCACGACAAAGTATTCCAAAAAAATACTTCATAGAGGTTTTTTAGATTTATGATGAATTATGTAATGCACAACTAGCTCTTATTTGCATTAAACATAAAGAAAACATACATGTAATTATTCCACTCGATCGACGTTAAGAAAATCCGGACTAGTAAAACCGTATTAAGAGTTCGAATCCACGTGATTGCTATTGAGTCTTTACAGAGAGAAGCATCTACTATTTCATTATTTCATATAAATTTTCCTCTCTGCTTTTTGTTTTCTTTCTTTTTTGTTTCTTTATCGATATCTTTACTACCAGATGATCACTGATTACTTATAATGTATTTAATAGCTTTTATTGTATTATTGCATCCAGATACAGACAATAAAAGTTCTTCCATCAGAAATCTTTTCAAAGAAGAATACTAATCTTCATATATATTTTCACAAATTATTTTGGCTTTCTGATACATATCGTGAAATTGAAAAATAATAAACGAGAAAAACATAGTATTAATACTTACCATTTTTCCAGGAATAACTATTGCGATCCAAATCGGACGATTCGGGGCTAGCTTCTGTGGAAGATAAACCGAATACTATGCTGTACAAAATAACCATATAAGCCACAGAAGTCAATTTCTTCATGTTCACAGATACCTATAAAAATTAAAAAAATAAATAATGAATTATCATGATTTTAAATTAGCTCTTTAAATGCGAAATCAACTAAACCTAAACAACTAAGTTGCAAAAACCGATAAAAAAGATAAGTAAGAAGCCTGAAATAAAACTAGCGAGTTAAACCGTTAGAAAACTAAAATATCTTCTTTATTATACTGATTTATGAAGATTTTGCATTTTTATCTATTATCCCGAAAGTGTCATAAACAAGACTTGCTGAATTTGATCTTCTATGCGAAATAAATATGCTTCTTACTTAACTGTCGTTACCGAAAGTAGCAATATTTCTGACACCGAAAGTACCCTCTGGCAAAAAATTAAATTAATAATACACTTATTGTGAATTACAAATGAAAATCGCTCTCACAGTCTTGAATACGATTGGAGATTTTAAACATCCATTTCCTCTCCATGCCTTGACATGCAACATATCTAACTTCAGTACTACTGTTTAGAGTAAACCTTCATCTGTTTGCCTTTCACCACACTTCAAATCATGGCTTTTGACTAAACAGGAGTCAGCGCTTCATTTTATTCCTTCGTTTTCCCAGCACTTTCAATTTGCTGCTCCAAACCGGTACTTGATCAAGAACGAAATTACTTTATAAGGTATTTCTCCCACTTCCCTAGCGTGCCTTCGTGGTGTAATGGTAGCACGCTGGGTCGGTATTCGAAAGGTCCGTGGTTCGATTCCCGGCGAAGGCGGTTGCATATTTTTCATCTTTTCTGCTTCCAATTAACCTAATGCCTCTACAAGTGGCGCCCGAACTAAAAGGGTTATGGATGATGATTCTGCGCAATGAGAGGAAAAGGGTCAATAAGAATTGTTAATGTTTTTAAACAACTATCCATACAAATATTCACAACAAAAACATTTACTTTTTACTATTACCAGCAACAATTATGTTTCCTCTTTTCTGTCCAGTTTAATACATAGGAATATCTTAGCTTCTAATTCACTGTTTTATTAATACCCTATAGCAAAAATCAAATTCCCAAATAAAGATTCATTTCGCTGGAAACGCGATCTCTTTTTTTAGAAAAGAAAACTGGCAATGAGATCAATACAAAATAAAGAACTTAACGTGTCTTTATACCGCCAAGCATGATCTATCAACACTAATCAGTTAAGACAGTTTCGACGACAATACGTCCAAAATAATGAAATAATGGAATGATCTGTTAAATCAGTCTCCCCTAGGAGTATCCTGTTTGCCGGAATAGGAAAATCTTAGTCAATATAATCCTTATGCTGGAAGATACACATCCATGTATGCATGCATGTATGTGTGTTCATGGATATGCATTGGAGATTAGGGAAACAGTAGTCCGTGTCGAGTCTAATTTAGCAGAAGAGAGAAGCTACGGCGAGAAGCCCTTTGGAACTCCAGCTTTCTAATGGTTTACCAAGATGCAGACTGTCATTTTGGGAATAACAAGCCAAGCTTGCTGGAAACGTTTGTTGTCAAGACGAGGTAACAGTTTACAACTATATTCTGGGTAAGTAAATGCATACTAGATGTTAAGTAAAGTGCATCTGTTAAAGCAGTGGCTCTCAAACAACTCGCAGTAATCTGTATTTTACTCGTTTTTTTTTATTCCAGACAGATTATTTTATTTTGCGTTACATTTTACATCAAAATAATAATGTCATATTTGCTTTATGTTTTCGTGGCAGAACAGGTATGCAATGGCGTGGCAAACAGTTTGAGAATCATTGTTGTAGAGGTATCAAATTTTCGTTGCATCCTTAGCACAGCTGCCAACAATGAAATATGAAAAAAAGAAAGTTTCAGGAAGGTTTCTCATGATTTTTGGCTAATATTCTGTTGTAAATTTCCTCACACATTTGTGTTGAGAAAATAATAACAATAAGGAAAAAACTGTAATTCATCAATGTACTTTTAAATACGATGGAAATAAAATTAATTATTAATGTATGTGCGGCAAACCACACACAGATAAGAAATCCAAGTACGGCCCCCCATAGGTTGCAGCGTTCGAGGTGTAAGACGACAGGTTCTGACATTGCAATAATTCGTTAGGTTACGGCTCCGCTTGACATTACAAGAATCATAACTTCATGGCCAGTGTCAATGGATTTTTGCCGATCTGCACTGTGTCACCAAAGCCTTTCGATTACAGGGAGGCTGACGAAGCAATGATCCTGTTTTCCCTCTGATACCTTTTCATCAATATATTAATGAAACGATTAATAAGGCTAATTATTTCCTAGTTCCTATAATAAGGCTAGTTAGTTAAATTTAAACAATTTAAATTTCACCAATTCAATAAATATTACTTATTGCTGAAAAACACTTTCATTAATAAAGGCTATAAAAAGATTAAAATCCGAGATATTTATATTTCGTGATCTACCGAGGACAGTAAGACAGAACTGGCAGCTATGCCATACGATTCTCTCTGTCAACGTAAGCTGATTGCTCGTAGAAGACATATGATTTGATCTGATAAAATATTAATCAAAAATATTAATTTTTGAACAAGCTTCATAAAAATTACTGAGCTTAAGATAAATGTTTAAAAAATATTTGGTTATCGAAGATTCTTATATTTACCGTAAAAACTACGATTATCATCAGGAAAATAATTATGTGCTGTTTGATATGACGCTTATGATGAAATTCAATATAAAATTAGCACAGATAAACGTGAAATTTATGCCGCCCATCTGGTTTAGCATTAGTGAGCCTAACTGCCGTAGCGATCTGCCCAGGGTTCGAATCTCGGAGAAGGCATGGTTGTAACTGTCTATTCCTTCATAGGAGGCAACGGTGGTCACCTATTAGATGCCTCCATAATGGAGGCATCTAATAGGCCACCACTTCCGGCCTTTGTAGTGGAGCTAATGGCAATTAAATAAGGCTCCCATGCATTTAAAAAAAAACATGAAATTTATTACAGTTTCTAATTTTATTAGAATTTAGTCCAGATTTATCAAACAGTAATTATTTAGGTTTAATATACCAGGACCTGCGTTACCCGCGAAAGTTGGAGTACTTAATCCTGTGAGGGTTATGGACGTAAAATTCCGTATCAGCGTGTTTATAGCAGTTTTTCGACGACTGTAAACCTGATTTACGTGAAGAAAAATACGTAACAATATAAAAGGCCCTCCGATGAGTTATCATTTTCAACTTCAATGACATGTGCTTAATGGAAATAATAAGCGACACTAGACGCCCCATTCATTTGTTCTTGAAAAAATGTGACCTGAAATTTCCAATGAAAGCAGATCCGTTGTGTGTTCTAGCTAAACTCCCGGTTCTGACGTAATCAGAATAAGCCCACGAATTTTATCGTGGCAAGGAGTGCCGGATCGCGTTTGTTGTTGGTATGAGTCTTGAGAACCATATAGGTAACAGAACGACTTTACCCAGTTCCAACCAAATTTTGAAGGACAGCAGCCCGGAGAGACGGGTACAAGAAACCACTAAACCATTCGACAGGATTTTTCGTATCGCTGCCCATGCCGTACAGAAAATATACATTTAGAAACAACCACGGATCCTTCGGCATTCGAACCCAGATCCATCGGTACAGCAGTCAGCGTCAATATTCACTATACCGTTTGGGCGGCCTTACAACCGAAAATAAAAGCGATGAAAAGAAAGCAATGCATAAATGACATAAGCACTAAGCACAGGCTTCAAGCGAAGACAGCAATTTAAAATTTCCTCCAAAAAATACAAACATAGCATGGAATAAACTTGCTACGTAAATCTCTAATCTAAATCTCTAATGCCGGTGAAAGTAATTTACAAATTTGGAAGGAAAGCGTCACTGAAAAGAAAAACAAATTATTCCGAAAAGCAATTTTTAAGATCTGGTGAGAATAAACATTAATAGCTAACTTTTGATTTCTGAATTTTTCACGATCAGTTTACCAATTATGAAAAGACACTTAACTTTTACGAGTTTTACGGGACTTTTTCTCAAGTTTAAAGAAAATGCTTATGAAACAAGATAAACATAGCTTATATAAACTGATATTTTTTCGGGCCATAAATTCGACTCTTAGTGTGCATATTTTTCTCATTAGCTCAAAATATTCTTTTTAATATACCAATTTTTATAAGGCTGAGCAAAAATTTATGCTTGCTTTAAACATTAAATAATTTTAAATCTTTTTTACAGTTGGGGAATAAATAAACTTTTTTTCAATGACTCTTTTTAAATGGAGTGAAAAAAAAGGGAACTTCTGGCGAGATTTTATGCATCCCTTTTTTTATATATATTTTTTGTTTCTTCCCTTTCCTTTTTTCATATGAAGTTCTGTTTTTATATTTATAAACCATTAAAGTAGAAAAAAAGTACTATTAAAATAAGTACTAAAAATTATTATTATGTTCTCCATTAAAATTTCTGGTAGATTTCTTTTTTAAATGAAAAACTATAGTTACCACGAATTAACATTTAAGAGCAAGCTACTATATTTAGGGTGTTTTCCCTGTTCTTTCTTTTCCCCGGTACGGAAAATGAGGTTTACTGGAAAAAAAAAAAAAAGTAATGTAACTAAAATTTCTCTCAAGATATCCTTCTATCTCACAGCACTACTGTTCAAACCTCGGGAGCGGAATACGTAGCGCATCAGTCTTATAATCACCCAATACAGTAGAGTCCCGCAAACTCGACTCCCATAAAGTCCTAAAAGTTGTCGACATTCCGTATAACTCGACAACTTTTGGGAACTTTTTTAAGATATCTCAAGGCCAAACAGAGCAAATATTACATCCAGTACATATAATTATTATTTAAGCATGCATCTTTCCTATTCTGTCCAAAGACCCTGCCTGTTTTTTTTTTTTTTTTTTTTTTTTTTTTTTTTTTTTTTTTTTTTTTTCCTGTAAGTTTTGCCGTTTTCGCATTGCGCCATTAATTCTTGGAACAGTCAAACAAATTTCAAGATATGTTGTAACACTTGACAACGGTGTTTGCTTCTTTCGAGGATAGAAAAAAGTC